AAACAAAACAAAACCGTCTGCGGCCATTAGCTCAGCGGGTAAAGCACCGCTGTCGAACGTGCACTGTGGTCTTCGGGCACAGGCTTGAATCTTCGGGCCTGCAATTCTGCGCACAGGGGATTTCAAAGATGCAGGTCTACTGTGGGATCCAGCCATTGTGACTGCCACATCAGATGGTACGCCCCTGTACATGCTCTGAGATGTTCCTCAAGGAACATCGTACAAGGACCACTTGCACCTCCCCTTGGGTTGTGCAGGGTCATGGGGGGACTGGGGCCAGAACGATGGGTGGCCTGAGTGAGGAATTGGGAGAGGGGGGGAGAGACTGGGATTCACCACGCCCCTAGCAGGCCTCCGTCAATTCACTTTGGTGACAGGCAACTGTGGTGCGTGACTGCCTCCCGGCAGGTCAACATAGGGAACCCCGGAACCTGAATCAGGGCACTTCTGTGACATGCGACTGTGGTGCGTGACTGCCTCCCGGCAGGTCAACCTAGGGAATCCCAGAACCTGAATCAGGGCGTGGCGAACCCCGTTGCTGGCGACCAGGTACCACAGGTCTCGGTCGATGCCCCCCTGTGTGCACGCTTGGCTACACACTTAGTCGTTGAGTGCTCTATCCTTGAGTGTCCGCTCTGTGTGGGTGAGTTCACTGTGCTGTCAGGAAGGCTGAACCCGGTGTGTCCAGCCTCCTGAGGGACTTCCTCGCCTGAAACTGTCCAGGACACCCCTCACAACCTTGAGAAAAAAAAACAGAAAGAAACTCAAAAGAACAACGTTTGAGGTTCACTTATCACAGAGACCTCATTTCCGAAATGCATGATTCCCGCGTTACAGACCGTCTCCTTACTACTGCTCAGTAAGGATGGGCGAGCCACCACTAGACTCTTCTCAAATAATCGAAACACTAGAACTCGACAGCCCTAGCACGAGTAAAAATCCCCTCCATCCCTCTTAAATCACAACCCTCACCACTGCATCCAAGACCTTTTGATCTGCATTACCAAGGTGTTGTGGGCCTGTCAGGTGGCAACCCCGAGGCAATCTATGGCAGCTATGAAACAGCCACTAGCCTCCCAAATGGCGGATGACAATGGCAAGAGTGCATGACATACAGAAACTTAGGATCACACATTAAGAAAAATAGGGTTGACAGACAGTGGTGGCTTAAACCACAAATACTTGGGACCCTTCCCTTGCCCTTTGTTGGCAGATTGACCGCATTTGAATTTAACCAGGTGCAGCCACGCCGATACATTCCTAAAAGGCCGGTGCATTAACCCAGACACCTTGCTCGAGCGCTGGTGGTTTTAAGGCTTTGATAGCTCTCTACCACAATCTCAAGCAATGGAATCAACTACTGCCACTCAAGTTACTTATCAATGCAACATGCCTCTTAAACCACACTGTCACACAACAGATATCAGCTGCATGTCACGAAGCAGCACTGGGCAATGAACTAGTTAACTACTCCTAGAGATAGGCAGCCTGGGGGACTGAGCGTAGCTAGTAAGAAGGACATCATTGCAGGGGTATAGCAGCGATCATTGCAGGGATAGAGCAGCGACAAATCCTTTTTCGAACGGAAGCAATCAATGCTGCTGTCGGCCCTTCAGCCATCATGGAAGGAAGTTAGAGCGGGTTGTGATGTAAGGGACGCTGGACCAGGTTTCTAAGTCGGTTTTGTTGGGGGACAAATAAAACCATGGTAAGCCTGTGCATGAGATAAAATTCACAGCCTGGATCTGATGAAAAATTTCTTTGCGGACATTTCAGCACAGCCTTTTGGTAGGGCATGAATTGCAAAAAGACTCTTTGGTATGAGTAACAGCCTGTACTTGACAAAACAACCGGAGCGACATCTTGGGCATAGCACGGGTGTGTAACATGTGGCAAAACGTAAGACCAAGAAATAAGTCTTAATAAATAAATGCAGGCGTAATAAGAAAGACATAACGAAATGAAAAAATAACGGATGATCTCCAGCAGGAACAAAAACATGCTATTTCTTTGCACCAGTTCCAAATTGGAAGGTGATGGGTGTTTCTTAATTCTATTCTAGTTCTAACTAAGAGTTCCAACTAAGTCATGTAAACCAGGGCTGGGCCGGCAACCAGCCGGTCGAGCTGACCCGGTCCAACTGGGGCCGGACCGGGCCAGAGGGGGTCAACCGGCAAACCGGATGGCCCAATAAAATGGCCAAAAAAATATATATATATATTTTTTCTTCGCGGGATCCGACTGCGCTTGACAAGATCTGTCAGATTCCGCAATAAAACTTCGAAGGTTGGATTCTCTTTTTGGGGGTGTGCCGGGAGCGGGGGGGGGGGGGGGGCAGCAATGAAAAGAATATATATATAAATTAAACCGCTATGGCTAACGGCGGAGGAGGAGAAGAAGAGGAGGAGGAGGAGGAAGAGAAGAGGAGGAGGTTTAAAAAGAAAATGACGAAGAAGAGGGGAGAGAAGAAGAGGAGGAGGGGGAGGAGGTGGAGGAGGAGGAGGAAGAACAACAACAAGAAGAACGCAAGGAAGATGAAGCAGCTTCGGAAAAAAAAATAAAAAATATAACGGCTATGG